GTATGTGAAGCACATTGAGTAATTTGAACATTCTTTGGCATTGCTCTTCTTTACACTTGGGACATAAACTCATCTTTTCTAATCCAGTGACCTCTGTTGAGTTTTCCAAATTTGCTGGCATATTGAGTGCAGCACTTTAACAGCCCCATCTTATAGGATTTTAAATAGCTCAGCTGGAATTTCATTACCTCTACTAGCACACACTTGTATTACGGTGATGTTGAATGGATTGTCTTGGATACAAACAGATATTCTGTCATTTTGGGGATTATAGCCCACTACTGCTTTTTTTCACTCTTTTACTGACTAAAAGGGCTACTCCATTTCTTCTAAGGGATTCTTGCCCACAGTAGTATATGTAGTGATCACCTAAATTAAATTCACCCATTCTTGTCAGCTTAAGTTCACTGGCACCTAAAATGTCAAGAAGTCAATGTTTAATCTTTGCATCTCCTGTTTGACCACATCCAGCTTACCTTGGTTCATACATCTTATGTTCCAGGTTCTTACGCAATATTGATCTTTACAGCATCAGACTTTCCTTTCACGCCAGAAACATCCACAGGTGAGCTTCCTTTTGGCTTTGGCTCAGTCACTTCATTAGTACTGGAGCTACTTGTAGTTATCCTCTCTTCCACAGTAGTGGGTTGGACACCTTCCAACCTGAGGAACTCATCTTCTGCTGTCATATTTTTTTTTTATTATTACTTTTTTGCCTTTTTTAGTGAAGCAATTGTGGTTAAGTGACTTGCCCAGGGTCACACAGCTAGTAAGTATTATGTGTCTGAGGCTGGATTTGAACTGAGGTCCTCCTGACTCCAAGGCCAGAATTCTATCCACTGCACCACCTAGCTTCCCCCCAAAATCTCTTTTTGAACTCAGGAAGACTCCAGTTCAGATGCTCATGATCTAATTTTATGGGAGTATCCACTAGAGGTTCAGATATCTTACTCTTGCTTTCTCAAGCAAGGAGACAAAATTGCTTTCTCAAGCAAGGTGAAAGTCAAAGTGGCATCAAAGTTCAAAGAAAGATACTGAGGACTGAATGCTAAAGCAACCTCATTTTACCTAGACACAGCAATTGTAGACAGGTATTTGAAGTGTTGTTACATGGAAAAAGAATAAAATTTGCTCTATTTGGCCAGAGCAGATAGAACCAGGAGCAAAGAAAGAAAAAATTAAAGGATCTAGTGTTGGTTTGCTAGAAGGGCAAACATTATAGCTGTTTGGACTGTGCCAAAGTGGAATAGTCTGCTTAAAGAGGTAGTGAGTTGTGTCTCATTGATCTTATTAAAGCAGAGCCTGTGTAACCCACACAATCACAAAGTTGGAATTGACCTCGAGGTCATCTAGTCCAAACCCATACATGAAAGGCATCACCACCATAAAACACCCAACAAGAAATCATCTCTCCTTTCCTTGAATTTCTCTTAAAAGACCTTCTGTTGAGTATCTTATAAAGAGGAATCCTTTTTTTTTTTTTTTGGTAGTTTAGACTAAATAGATTTGTGTTGAATTCCCTTCAAATTCTCAAATTCTGTGATTCTGTGCTTCTATCTTTGCCAATGTCAGGACACAGAATTAAAAAAAAATAGTCGTCCTGGGATTCTTGAGACATTGTCTAATGGCCAGGCCAAATGGAGATTTGTAGACACCAAATGGAAAAACACCTACTTTCTGTGTACAGGCACCCATGCTTCAAAAAGGACTGAGACCTGAGTTCAGAGTTCCTAAGAATCAATTATGAATTGGGACCTTTTTGGTAATTCCTATTGCCCACTGACAGAAGGAATAGCCTTCTATCTATCTATCTGTTATATCTGATAGATAGTCTATTTATCTAGCCTTTGTGTGAGCCTCATGGCTGAAAGGGTCCACTTGAGTCTGTGATAATGTGCAGGGATGTCTCTGGATAGTAGGCATTTTATTGCGTATTGCTGCATTTACTGGCTCAGTGCAAAGAGTAAAACTTCTGGATACAGTAAGCATGCTCTATCTGATCCTGTGAAGAGGCTTCTTCCATTGTGACAAGTTCACTTGACTTGGACCCAGTGAAATTCAACAAGCTCAGGGAGAAGGAAAAGCAGCAAAGGCCTTAAGGTGCAGACTTCAGAGTTAACTTGGCTCAGTAAATCCCTATTAACCACTCTGCCTACAAGGATGACCGGTTGATGCCTCAAAGAGTGGTGAAGTCTCATTGGCTGGTGAAGCTGAGAGAGAGAAGGTTGTTTACTCTCTGAGAACTCTTACAAAGAAGGAGGCATGAAATACATAGGGAATTAAATGAGAACATACCCACAATTCTGTTATCTTGGTGATGTTTCCAGTATGCTTTCATCCATTAATTCCCCAAGGCACAATGAAATTTAAAAGCATATAGAGGTTCCCACAGAAGATACTGGAGAGGATAATGTACTCTGAGGCTCTGTCCAATTGGAGTAATTGGGACTGTTGGTGATGGTGTGAAAGCCATTCAATAGGCAGGCCATGCTGAGGGAAAGACTTCAATCTTACTCTGTGAAGGTAGAAGACAATTTTACAAACAGTCATGCAGGTCTTCAAGTCTGAAATTTTTCAGACCCAAAGCTATTATTTTTTTTTTTGAGGAACGCCATGTGGGAGAAGCACCAAACAGTTGACCAAAGGCAATTGAGTGAAAATCATGTGCATGGATCTCAGTCAATATTCATAGAGAAAGCAGAATATGACTGGAAAAATAAGGAAGAGGCTCACAGAACCCCATTTCCTGTCTGGAAGAAGAACATACTCAGGACAACATCATTAGGACTCATGTTTTTGATATCTTGGGGAGAAGAAATGGCACCAGAGTCAGAGAGACTAAGAGAAAAACACGAGTCAATGGCATTTGCCAACACTGCCCTCTCACTGACATTCAGAAGAAGCTGCTGAGGATGTCTTCAGTTCTTTACACAGAGTGTTCACTTGTCACGAGGATTGAGAGAGTAGGGGTTGGAATTTGCAAATAAGAGGTAAATGAGTCTAAGAAGTAGCTTGAGAGAGATCTTATGAGGAAGGCGATGATTAGGAGGTTTTGGTTCTTTCCTGTAAGCCATCCCAACCTCATGGAAGGCAGAGTTCAAAGACTCAACTTCACAAGTGAAAAATCAGGAGGTGTGGCTAGATGGTTCCCCTGGGAAAAAAAAAACTGGAGTTAACTGCAGATCCAATAGAAATCAATGATGAGTTGAAAGTCTGACTGTACTACACATATCCAAGAGAACTGAGAACTTGTAGGGGAGGCAGGGTAGGGGATCATTTGCCTTCCTCGAATTTGGTTTCTTTTTTTTAATTTTCAATTTGATTTTTAAAAATTTTTAGAAGTTTTTTTAAGTAATTTGTCTTTTCCAGTACCCTGCTTCCCTCAGCCCTCAACGAGCAAATTATAAATCCCACAATAGAGATCTACTTAGACCAGCAAAACAAATCCCCACGTTATCCATGTCTGAAAATGTAAGTTTTGCTAGATTTTGAGCACTTCACATCTCTGTCCAGAAGTGAGTAGCCCACATTATCTCCATTTTTTTGGACTTGTTTATCACCATGTTAATCAGAGTTCTAAAATCTTTTAGAGTTGTTTTTCTCTACAGTGTTATTCATACCATCAGTTCATTAAGGTCTTCTCAGGTGCCTCTGAAATGGTCCATTTCATCATTTCTTACAGCACAATAATATTCCCATACAGTCATATGCCACAGTTTGTTTAGCTGTTCTCCAATAGGAAAATCTCTTCAGTTTCCAACTTTGGGCTATCAAATAGATTCTTATTTCTTTGACTTCTTTGTACGACAGGCCTAGTATTGATGTAGCTGGGCCAAAGAGTAGACAGTTTAGCAACTTTCTGAAAATAGTTCCAAAATGCTTTCAAGAATGGCTGTACCCATTTATGATTTCACTAACAGTGTAGTAGTGTACCTGTCTTTGCACAGTTCCTCCGATAGTTATTTATTCATTGGCTTTTATTCTTACAAAAACTAATTGGATCCTTATATATTTTGAAATGAGACTTCATCAGAGAAATTTGTTGTGAATCTTTTTTTGTTACCTATTTCCTTTTTGGAGCAACTAGGTGGCTCAGCGGATGGAGCTCTGGGCCTCATATCAGGAAGATTCATGTTCTTGAGTTCAAATCTGGCCCCAGACAATTATTAGCTTTGTGAACCTGAACAAGTAATTTCACCCTGTTGGCCTCAGTTTCCTCATCTGTAAAATGAGCTGGAGAAGGGGATGGCAAACCACTGCAGTATCTTTGCCAAGAAGAACCCAAATGGGGTCCCGAAGGGTCTGACCTGACTGAAGAACAGATACCCATTTTCATTTTCCCTACATCAGATTATGTAAAGCCTTTTTAATCTCTTGTAATCAAAGCTATGCTTTTATCTCGTGGGTTCGCCTCTGTGGCCTGCTTAGTCTTGAACTCCTCCATCCACAGCCTGAAAAGGTGCTTTCTTCCTCGCTCCTCCTCTGTCTGGCCGATTCTTCCCAGGACTCCCGCATCCTTCAGGGCTCATCTCGGCACCCAGTGTAGTCTGGGCTGGGGAGCCTGGGCCTCGAGGCGCATGTGGCCTCCAGGAGGGCCCCCCTCGAGGACTCGGATGTCCCCTAGCCCTGGCCTACACTCTGCCGCTGCAGGGTGTGGTTTCCTCACTTCCCCAGGAGCTTCGGTCCTTCCTGTGGCTGAGCCCTCGGATAGGGCACTCGCCGAGCTGGGGCCTGGTCTCCAGGAATCCCATCCACGTGGCGTCTTCGCCTCGGGCCTAGACGAGGGCTCAGACATCCCAGACCGCTGAATTCAGCCCTGAAGAGCACCCATTCTCTCGGATCTCTGCTGCGGCCCTCAGACTGTAAGCGCCTTGAGGGCAGGGCCCGCCTTTTCCATATTTACATGGTTAACAGTGCTTGTCACATGGTAGGCCTATAATAAACGTTTATTGACGACTGACGTTGTCTACTTTGATTTTAAAAAGAAAGAGGAAAGCCAAATGACAGCAATCAAACGTGCACTAAAAACTGGCAGCGCTCCAAGCCACCCCAGGTCCCCCCGGTGCGCAGACTCAGAGGCTGGCGGAGCGAAGGTGGGTCCCGGAGCCCTCTGGGAAATGAAGTCCAGTTCCCCCTAGCAGGGCGGGCTGCGGAGTTGAGCCACCCGCTCATATACCTAGACTCCAATTCCCAGAATGCCTCGGAAGGCCCAAGGTGGAATGTGGACGGCTGCGAAGCCGGTGCATTGTGGGAAATGGTCTTTCCCCTGGGCCCTCCTCCCAACCCTTGCGCCTGTGGCTACTTCAGAGAGGCGGAGGAGGGCGGGAATGACTTAGTGCGCATGGCTGCTCCAGCCCCTCCCGGCTGAGGGACCGGAGCGTGCAGAGCGCACGCGTGGCGCCGTCCTGGCGCCGCCCCCCCCGCCCCTCCTCCGCCTGTCCCGCCATGCTAGTACGCATGCGCTCAGCAATCGAAGCCTTCGGGCTGCGCAGTTTCCAGTGCACCCGCATCCTGGATCCGTGAGTACAGGGGTGTGCGTGCGTGTGCGCGTGTCAGCATGTCACTGTGTGCTTTTGCCGCATGCCCACGGGTGTCTGTGGGAGTGTGACCTGGAGTGTGTGCTTGTGCACGGGACTGCGCCGCATCAGCCTGCGTGTGTGACCTGGGGCTGTGCGTGCTGGGCACGAGCGTGCGTGGGTGTGATCACGCTTGGGAGGGGGTGTATGGGGGGACAGGTGCGCGCACACACCCGCACACACAGTCCTGGGAGGGAGGTGCTCACATGACCCCCGTTTTACAGATGAGGACACCGAGGCAGGCAGGGTTAGGTAGCCCGCCCTGGATGTCGCTGTGCCCCGTGCTGCCCGCGGCCGCCCACGAGGTCTGTGGGGTGGACACCTGGAGGCCCCGCCCCCGCCCCCGAGGGGGCTGCCCGCGTGGGCTAGGGGTCACGAAGCTTGGGGAGGGGGCTGGAGACCTGCACTTCTGAAGCGCCATATGGTGTGCCGGCTCCGGACTGAGGCCAGGCGTGTGTAGAGAGATTCTGAGGACCCCCCCCAAGACGGTGACCGTGGGGCCCCACGAGTGTTTCTCGTGGCCATGCCATCAGTGAAGTGGGCTCTGTGCCCAGCTGTGTGCACGGAGTCTGTGACAGCTTCAGGAGCCCCCGAGTTACCCATGGGATGGGGTTCCTTGGGCCCTGAGTTACATGAGATGGGGGTTCCTTGGCCCCCCTAAGTTACCAGTGGGATGGGGTTCCTTGGTCCCCAAGTTACATGGGATGGGGGTTCCTTGGCCCCCCTAAGTTACCAGTGGGATGGGGTTCCTTGGGCCCCCAGTTTCATGGGATGGGGGTTCCTTGGCCCCCCTAAGTTACCAATGGGATGGGATTTGAGTTACATGGGATGGGGGTTCCTTGGCCCCCCTAAGTTACCAGTGGGATAGGGGTTCCTTGGCCCCCCTGAAGCATAGCCAGCAGCGCCTCAGGGAGGGAAGAAGCTGAGCCTTCTAGTGCAGGTCCTAGCCAACCTAATGGTGGTTTTGAGCCCCCAGGCCCGAGCTCTAAGGGGAAGTGAAGATGGTGGACCATAGGCCCAAGAAAGGACTCCTGATCACAGAAAGACACCTGTCCTGAGGCCTTGGGTGTGGCTGTGCTGATCATGGTGGCTGGGAGAAAGGATCTGAGGGGTCAGAAGGTGGAGATAACAGCCAGGACCCGTCACTGACTATGGAAGACTTGGACCTCACGCTTGAGAAGAGAGGTGAAAATCATTTGTGTGGTGGGGTAGTGGTGAGTCAGCCGATCAACATGGACTGGGCCCCTACTGGGTGAGGGGTGTACTCGTGCAAGCACCCACTGCGTGTCCACCTCTCACCTCTGGGCTGGTCCACAGGCCTGGAACCTTCTCTCTCCTCACCGCTACCTTCTGGGCGTGTCTCATGTGCTGCCTTCAGCTTGAGACCTTTGCTGACACTACAGTGGTGAGGCTTACACTTGTGTTAGACCTTCCCCTGCCCCCATGCAATGCCCGAGGGAATGGCCTGCACCTAGTAGGTATTTAATAAGTGAGGAGTGCATTGAATTGATTTCCAATCTAATTCAGTGGAGTAAACGTTTGTTAAGTGCCTACTGTGTGCCAGGCACTTGAGCTTGGGGAGACAATGAATTAAAAAGACAGTTCCTGCCCTCAGGGAGCTTACAGTCTGAAGGAGGAGACAAATCACAAAAGGAGGCAGGGAGTAGAGTACAGAGGATGGGACACCAGGGGGTCACCGGCTCTGTGGAGTTGAGGGGCAGCCGATACTGAGAAGAGGTCTGGTTTCTGTCCTCTGTTGAAGGAAGGCGTTGGGGCAAGGTTGGAACTCTGCCCTCTGGCCCTCCAGTCCAGGGAAAGAAGGCTGAGGGAGGTAGGGGTCAGTCAAGGCTAGGGTCAGCATTGTGGCGATGAGCTCATCCTGGGAAGCACCTCTTGTTCTGAAACCAGTCTGGGCAGCAGACACAGCGTGGAGTGAGATAGATTCCTCTAAGGCAGGAGGGGGAGATGGGACCTCAAGTGAAAACGCAGGGAAGCCGACGGGTCTGTCAGACGATTTCATCCTCAGATAAGATAGGAAACCAGTTCTTCTGGTTCCGTGTTCAGTCATTCAGTCACTTCCAACTCTCCGTGACCCCTGCAGACTTGTCTATGGGGTTTCTTGGCAAAGACACTGGGGTGGTTTGCCATGTCCTCCTCTGGTGTGTCTGCATTTTATAGGTGAGGAGCTAAGGCAAATGAGGGTTAAGTGAATTGCCTGGGGTCGCACAGCTGCTGTCTGAGGCTGGATTTGAGTTCAGATCTTCCCAGCTCCATGCCAGTGCTCTACCAACTGTGCCGCCTAGCTGCCCCTTCTGGGGAAGCAGGCCCAGACTGGGCATCGTGGCTGTTTGGAGGGCCCAGCACGGGCAGTCATGGAGTGTCCTGCCCCATACAGTTTCCTGGCTTTGTCAGCAGAGCGTGGTAAGCTTGGGAACAGGGGTGGAGAAAGGCAGTGAGCTAGAGGAGTGTGATGCAGATGGGGCTGAAGGGCCTGAGGGAGCTAGTGAGGGTCTTCGGTAAAGGAGTTGTAGGGAAGGGTTGAGGGGCCAGGGTGGCTTAGTGCACAGAGCGCTGGGCCTGCAGTCAGGAAGACCTGAGTTCAAATCCAGCCTCAGACACTTACTAGCTGTGTGACGCTGGGCAAGTCACTTCACCTGTTGGCCTTGGTTTCCTCATCTGTAAAACGAACTGGAAAAGGAAATGGCAGACAGCTCCGCTCCGGTATCTGCCAAGAAAACTCCAGACTGATCAGGCTCAATGGGGCAGGGTTGAGCAGTCTCAGGACTTCTTTCTGTTGACAAGGTCACGTGTCTTCCAGGCCCAGCCCTTCCCCGGGATAGGCCTATGGCGGCGTGACAGAGGAGGAGGAGGAGGAAGAAAGGACCTCCGGGCTCCTGGCAGCCAGCAGGCAGGTGAGCTCTGCTTACGGCTCCTCTCATGTCTCCTCAGGTGAATGTGTTTGTTTCCCTTAACTTCAGTGGTGTTAGATTGCCCGTGTCCTCTTAAGGACCTGAATCCCAAGGATCCTCCTGCAGGAGGCTATGGTTCTTTGTGTGCAGACATTGGTGCTGCAATGTCCCATGAGGCAAGTGAGTACATTTCATTGGACCCCAAAAGCCCCTTCTAGCTCTGGAGATGTTTTAAGATAGAGATAGTCAAGGAAAGGGGATTTAAGATGAAAAACATTTCAGTCCCTGCTTTCTGAGAAGTTGGATTCTGTTGGAGGCTACACATACACACAGATGAGAGAGCAGAGATGCATCGGGGAAGAAACAGCCATATAGGAGGTTGTGACCGGGGGTGGGGGTGAGGATGCTTAAGAGGTGCAGTAAATAGAGCACCAACCCTGGAGTCAGGAGGACCTGAGTTCAAATGCGGCCTCAGACACTTGACACTTACTATCTGTGTGACCTTGAGCAAGTCACTTAACCCCGATTGCCTCACCTAAAAAAAAAAAAAGAGAGAGAGACTGAGAGAAAAGCATGAGGTAAGGAAGAAGGATGCTGGATAGACAGAAGCTCTGTCTTCAGTCCCTCATTGTGGCTCTGCATAGCTAGAGTGTTGTGCTCTGATTCTGCCCTCATGTTTTAGGGAGGCCATGGAGAAGCAGGAGTGTTGGGAGGGCAGCATCTTGAATGGTGGATCCATTGAAGAGTGGGATATGTGCATTGGAGAAGAGACTACTTAGGGGAAATGGTAGCCAACCTTATTGGACAGTTCCTAAAAGAAATCTATGTGCTCTCAAGGGAGTTTGACCTCATCATACTGAAAGGCAAAACCAAGATGGTGGAAGCCTGTCTTCCAGACTCGAATATGCCATTTTCTGGCCTTCCATAGGATTAGTTCCTAAATACGTATAGTGTGGACAAATAATGTGGATGGTACGTATCCTCAACCCAGAATTGAGAGTGGGCCGGATGGCATTGGAGAAATTGTACTCTGCTCCTTACGGCCCCTGAGCTTCCTGAAACAAAGCATGTCTTGTGTTACCAGTGGTTTTCTGGTGATGCTGTGTTACCATGAGTCACGGAGCACCTCAGTCTCTGAAGAATGAAGAGGAAGGTCAGCCAAAGGGCAGCGGAGGGAAATAGGAGGTTTTAGAAGGCGCATTGAAGAGCATCCAGAAACATGTGACTGGGAAATGATTCCGTCTAAACCAAGGGGGCAGGAGCGCCTCTGGAGACTCATGATAGAAGAAAAGAGGGATCGTAGGTGTCACCAACTGAGAGAGAGCCCCCAACACACACACACACACACACACACACACACACATTCCACACAGTCACACACACACATACCACCCCCCACACACACACACCACACCACACACACACACACACACACACACAGAGTTTGGCACTCAAAGCCCCTCATAGCCGGGCTCCCTCCTACCTTTCCAGTCTTCTCTCATCTTGCTCCCCAGCACATCCTCTTGGATCCAGTGACCCCGGCTCCTGGCCATCCCATAGACAAGACCCTCATTCCCTCAGCCCCAGGCATTTTCTGTGGCTGTGCACCATACCTGGAATGCTGTCTCTCCTCTGCTGCCATCACTGACCTCCCTGGCTTCCATCAAGTCCCAACCAAAATCCCATCTTCTGCCCCTGTGACTGCAGGGCCTTGCCCCTGTGTATCCTGGGTATGGCTTATTCATACATATTGTCTTCTCCCAGGGCCTCCAGGGCAGGGACTGTATGTTATCTCATGGTATGCCCAGTGCCAGCTACATCAGTCACTTAATAAATCTTTATTGACTAACCACAATGTATGTTTTGGAGGAAATCCTTCCCCCAGCACTCTGTACACAGTAGATAGTCTAACAATGTTTGTTAGGCTAACATGCAGTGTGGATTGCATCCTGGATCTACATTGTACAGAGGAAACAGTGACTGGTGGGGGTAGGGGTGGGGTGGGGAGAACTCCCAGCACGATAATGCCACTTTTCGGTCTGCTAACTCCTGAGCCAATGTGCCGCAGTGCCCAGTCGTGGCGAATGTGTGCTGTAACATTGCTAATCAAGCTTTGAAGCTTGGATTTTGACAGCTGGTGGCGGCGTTGTGTGTCTAACTACAAGACGCGGGCTGTTTGTTCCAGTTGTGTGAGTTAGGCCTGCAGGAGTCAAGGGAGTGATTTCCTGGCGGCGCACTGGTAAAGAGGCTCTGTAAGGGTTTCCTTGAGCATCTTGTAAGACCACATGCTAGGGGGTCTGGTACGAAGCGAGGCATGTAATAAGTAGTAATCATTGTTTGCCATGAGATACTCTTGGCCCTCCATGCTGTAAGAACCTCTCCCTTTCTGTCCCCCCGTCTCCGTGGCTCTTGTGACCCGGCGTAAGGAATCGGTGACCTTCAAGGATGTGGCTGTGCACTTCACCTGGGAGGAATGGAGACTTCTGAAGCCTGCTCAGAGGACCCTGTACAGGAACGTGATGCTGGAGACGCTGGAGCACCTTGTCTCCCTGGGTAAGCAGAGGTGTCCCCTGTAGACAAGCCCTTTGGATCCCCCATCAGATTCCTGGAGTGTCTCTGTGCCCTCCTTGCTGTAGGCTCTGGGCTGTCTGAGATGCTTGGTCGAGTTTTGACTCGTAGAGTGGCATTCAAGACCACATAACATGGGAAGAGATTCAGAATCCCTTCTGGCCAGTAGACAGTTGCCTGCTTTCAGGTCAAAAACCTTTTGCCTAAGTGGGAATCCCAGAGCAGCTCCCCTCCTCCCTGTCCCTCCCTGCTGGTCAGAGATTCTTGCTTGTGTCCCGGGGGAGCGAGGAGAACGCATCTTTCAGGCGACTGTCTCTCCCTTCTCTCCCGCATCCTCCGCGGCCTTCCTTTGGCGCTCGGCCTGGGGCCCTCCTTGAAGTGGCTCTCCCTCTCCCTGAGGGGAAGCTCTAGCAGGGCATGTAGGGACTGTTTTACCTCATGTTGTCTCTCCCAGCGCCATTTTGTGTGCACAGTAAGCACTGAAATGCCCGATGAGCGTGCCAGATTGTCATAGCGGAGATAGAACGTCCCCAATCTGACCGGGCCTCCCCTGGTCCCAGAGCTGCAGTGCTCCCCAGGACCTCGATCCCAAGCCCTCTTCCTATGGGGCTGCAGCCGACCTTCAGGCCTATTACCCCATCCTCCCCTGGGGCACTCTGCCATCCCCCCCAACGGGGCTGCTTGCTTTGCGTCCCAGAAGGCATTTCTTATCCAAATTCAGTTTCTGTCATGACACCCTCCTGTCCCCTGCTTCAGCCTAGGGCTCAGCTCAGCTGCCCTCTCCTACTCGAGACCTTCCCGTATCCTTGCAGGTCCTAGTTCCTCCTCCCTGAAGTTAATTTGTACTCATTTCCTCTCTGCTCATATGTACACATCCACCCCTGGATAGAGCAGAGGTTCCCTGCAGCCAACCAGTGACTGTTCATTATGGCTCATTATTCCCAGCGACTCCTGGTGCACAGTGACTGCTTCATAAATGCTCAGTAGGTGATTGAGATGGACATGGAAGCGTCCTCCCCTCCTCGCATGAGGGGGTTAGCAGAGCTTGTGTTCTCTCTGAACCTCCCTCAGATCTGTGACCATTCCTCCTCTGAAGCACGGGACAAAGTGTGCTCCAGAGGGCTTTCTTACCAGCCTTGGTGCTTTCTAAGCCACCTTCTTCTCTGAATAGATTTGAATTCTCTGATGCTTTTCTGTCCCTAGCACTTAGCCATTTCTCCTTCTGTGAGCAGGGCTATCTGTTTCCAAACTGGATCCAATCTCCCTGTTGGAGAGAGACGAAGTGCCCCAGACCCCGAGCGAGAAGTGCCCCGAGGGCGCTGTCCAGGTGAGTGAGATGTGGGCAGGTGGGAGGGCTTGCAAGCAGTATCTCAGCTGATGAGACCTCCCCTCAGAGGTCCCTCATGCTGTCAGTCATTAGGGGCTGCTTTCACTGAAGCAAATCACTTTCCTGCCTCTCTAGCTCTTTCATATTTAGCTCCCTCTAAAAGAGACATGTTCCTCAATTTTTAGTTTTATTTTTAGCAGCTTATAAAGTTTAAAACTGTCAGTAAATATATTCACACACAGATATGCATAGTTGGTATACACATGCACACATGCATACATATACAGACAAGATTAAAGAATGATCCTACACTGAGCGCAGAAAGAGCTAACACTTATCTCGTCCCTACTGCATGCCAGGCTCTGTGCTAAGCACTTTACAATCATTTTCTCATTTCATCGTCACAACAGCTCAGGAAGGTGGGGGCTCTCATTATTCTCATTTCACAGAGGAGAAAACTGAGGTAGATGGGGAAGTGACTTACCGAGGATCACACAGCCAGTTTATTTTTAAGTGTAGATTAACCTGAACATCACAGTAAGATATAGGTCCTGTTCGTATCCTGGTCTGTTTCTGAACTGTTTTCTTCTATGTCTTATAGATTTTGTGGTTGACATATTTACTATCTTTCACGTCTTGGTGGTTTGTCTTTATGTGCTAATTCTGCTTTCCTCATTCTGTGTTACTTCTAATGAGTTTTTTCATATTATTTATTATTCTCATTTGTATTTTCTTCTGTCATAACTACATACATTAAGACCATTCAACAACTTCTTTAGCCCCCTGTCACTTGTTGGACATCTGAGCTATTTTAAAGTTTTTGTTATTACAAGTAATGCTATTTTTAGCCCTTTTGCAGAAGGACATCTTTGTCCCCTTCGTCAGTAACATCCTTAAGATATTGGTAGCACCACTAGGCCCACGTATTTAATGGTAGCGTCCTTGCATCCAAGGGGAGAAACAGTTTTTGTAGTCTTATTGTAGATTACTTTCCCAAAGGATGGTACTGTTTCTTGGCTCTAGAAATTTGTAATATTTGTCTATTTTTCCACAGCCTCACCAGCATTAAAATATGAAAATATAGTTTTCTTTGCTATTAAGAACTTGCACATAAGCCAGCATTAACGTTTGTAATTTTGAATTTTTCAAATTTGATTTACCTCGCTGTTCCTTTCATTTGAATGTTTACGGTTGAAACCTAGAATAGTTTCTTGTGCCTTTGCTCTGTTGTGTTCCTTCTTTAAATAGTTCATGTTGGTATCTTTTTCATGGGAGGAAGGGAGCTTGATCTCCTAAGTTTTGAATGGTATGACCGTTAACATTCAGGCTGTATACCCATTTTGAGTTTACTGTACTACATGGTATGAGATAGAATTACTTCTTAGTGTTCTGAGTTGCTTTGTCAGACGTGGTGTTCTTTCTTGTGTAGTTGATGTTTTCCAGTTTATTGAATGCTGGGTTTTTTAATTTTGTTGTTTCTGACTCTTTCTGCTGAAGGCCTTTCCTCATAGTTCACTGAGAAGAGATCGTTCACCGTGAATTCCTTCTCCCCTCGGCTGCCTCTCAAGACCCCTTGACATCATCCCCTCTTCTTTGCTGTGGTTTTTAATGAGCAGGCCACTCTTCTCAAGCCAGTCCTGTATTTGTCTTTGTTTCTCACATCCTCTTGTCTCCTCCAGATTTCCCTGGCAGTCATCCACTTTCTCTAATTTTCCATCTCTTCCTATTTTCCCTGCAGCCTACAAACATAGCCAGTTCTCTCCCATTCTTAAAAAACCATTATGAGACTGTACTCTCTGCTCCAGCTATTGCCCTTTACCTCTTGTCTTTCACAGCCAGACTGTCTCCACTCTGTGTTTCTGCTTCCTCTCTTCTCACTTGCTTTCATCTCTCCAAAATCTGACTTCTGACTTCATTCTCAGCTTACGCCACCATCTTTAAAGTCACCAGTGACCTCTGATCCTTACCCTTTCTGTTCTCTTCAGCATTTGCCACTGCAAATCACTGCCTTCTTGGTCTCTCCCATGTCTCGTTTGGTGTGATGCAGTTCTCCCTTGCTTCTCTCTTCCCTTTCCTCAGCATCCCCCCTTCTTGGCCCTTTGCTGGTCTATCATCCGTATCTTTGTGTCCTCAATGGTGAGAGTCCATCGTAGTCTCCTGATGGGCCCCTTTCTCTTCTCTTTTTCATACGACCTTATCAACTGTCGTGGCTTTAATTATCTCTGTGCCAGTGGTTCTCCATTCTATATATGTGGCGCTTGGCCTTCTTCTGAGCTCCAGTCCAGTACCTCCAACTACCTATTAGATATTTCAAAGCCTACTTCTCTCTGACCTTCCCTATTTCTGTCAAGGACACTACTGTTCTTTTGGTTACCTAGTTTCACGACCTCTGTTTTTCTCAACTCTTCTTCCCTCCCTCACTGAACCCGTCCTCCATGCCTTCCCAACATCTTTTGCTTCTGTCCTCTTCTCACGTGCCCTCACCCTTGTTCAGCCCCTCCTCTGGGGTCTCCCTGCCTCGTTTCTCTCCCCATGCTGGTCCATCCTCCACACAGATGCTAAACAGGGATTTTCCTGACAGGCAAGTCTGTCCCTTGGACTTGAGGACCCTCTTCCCTAACTTTCTGCACTTGGCAGTACAGCCTGCCTTGCTGTTCCTCACACAGCCTCATGGGAGATAGCAGACAAGCAGCCACCCAGCCTTGAAGGGAAGCCCTCCGGGAAGAGGGCCCTGGATGCTTCCTAGAGAAGCCCATTCCGCTTTTAGAAAGCTCTGATTGTTAGGAAGGTTTTCTTACATCAAGCTACACTTAGCTCTGTAGCTTCTCCATGTCTTCTGCGTCTTCCTTCCAATGCTAATACATGAGAATCCTCCAGATAACTGCAGATGACTCTTATCTCCCCCAAAAGCCTTCTCTTCATCAGTCTGCATCCCAGTTCCTTCTCCTAATTCTAGGATGAGATGGTACTGGGGCATTCACCATGCTTGCCGACTGCCCTTCTTTGGGTGTTCCAGCTCAGCAGTATTCTGCTGTTAATGTGGCATCCAGAAGTGAACGTCATACAGTAGAGTCTGACCAGGGCAGAACATCACTTTTCACAATCTGTACTCCATGTTCCCCTCTGCAGGGGAAAGGGATAAGTTTTCATATAACACCTTCTATACGTGCTGAGCTCACTGTGCTAAGCTCTCTTTAGAAATTATCTCATTTGAGCCTCACAGCTCTGAGAGGTAGGTGCTATTAGTCCTGTTTTACACTTGAGGAAACTGAGGTTGAGTTACTTGCCCAGTGTCATAAAGCTGGGAATTGTCTGAGGCAGGATTTGAACACTGGTCTTCATGACTCCAGGCCCAGCACTCTATCCACTGCACTATTAGCTGCTGTAATGAAGCTAAGAAGGATCGCATCAGCCGTGGTTGCCATGCAAACTTGTTTGCTCATCTTGATCTCATGAATTACTTAAACCTCTGATATTTTTAATGATAAACTGCTGTCTAACTCTGCCTCCCCTGTTTTATATTCATGGAGTTGTTTTTCAGTCCAAATATAGGACTTATCTCTATTAACATTTCTTATTATTTTTGGATCTTTTCTTTTTTTAGACAGTTGGGGTTAAGTGACTTGCCCAGGGTCACACAGCTAGTAAGTGTCAAGTGTTTGGTCTGAGGCTGGATTTGAACTCAGGTCCTCCTGACTTCAGGGCCAGTGCTCTATCCACTGCTCCACCTAGCTGCCCCTTGGATCATTTCTAAAGCCTGTTGAGCTCTTGTTCAGTCCTAACCATCTCCATGTTAGCTATCACTCCCAGATCTTTGTCATTGGCAAATTTGATTATCATGCTGTATATGCCTTTGTTCAAGTGTGATCCAAAACAGGGCTTTAAAATGTAGCTTACCTATTTCATTTAATTATGTTATCTTGTGTTTTTCATTTCTTGTTTTGACAGAATAACTTGTGCAAATCAAATTGCTAATTGAAATTCTTTGCCTTTCTGCTTGGTGGCTTTAAGAATTATGTTATTATATTATTAAAGGTTGAAAATATTGCATATGTGAAATTTTCCTGAAAAATTCAAGATATTTTTATCTTTCCCAATTTTGAGGAAGCCTAGTAATTCTTAAATTGTTTCTAATTGCTTGGTCTTCCAGATCTGTCACTTTTATATACAGAGGTGCCAAATTGTTTTCCATTTGAGTAATGTTTTGAGCTCTGTTTCCCTTCTTTGTAGTTTTGTACTGTTCTATCCTTCAGAACATAACACACCCACTTAACAACAATTGTTTTAAATAACCTCTGTGTGGTCTTTCAGTTCCCTGAAAGTAAGTCAGTTAGTGCTAGGCAGTTAGGTCTTCTGTTACTATGTCCTCTACTCTCTTTGGCTTCCATTCTTCCTAAAATAGTCTTTTTTCTGCATAGCCTAGATTGAGCATCTTTTTCCTTGGTGGAAGAGATAGAAACTAGAACATACTCTGAAGCAGTTTCCTTTTTTCCAGCATGGAGAACAGTGGCTAGTGACGTTTCTAAAACAATTTCTTTCAGATTCCCTTTGTCAGGGGACACAGTGTGAAATCAAGGACTCAAGTCTGATGTCAGACATTTGGATGGGAACCTTATCCAAGAAAATACTGCCAACGGATGGTTCCTGGTATTCCGTAATAAGAGAAGCTCATTTCAACTTAGAAAGACACAAGGACAGCCCAGGGACAGTGTCCGGACAAGTAATAGACACTCCTAAAATAACATTTAATAGAGTGAGTGTGCCTTTCTGTAACACCTTTGCAAGAAGTTTCAGTCTGGGCTCGGTCTTTGTTCCACTCTGCAGAGATGCTGCAGAAGAGAGTCTTCATAAATCTCCAGCACTTGGAAAGAACTTCTGGGATTTTTTAAACCTAATTACATCTAATGCATTATCCTTGGAAAAGAATCTTTCTAAATATGACAGATACAAGAAGCCTTTCAGTTATCACTCAAACCTAATTAAATTTCATCAGATACATGTGGGAGAAAAGCTACGTGAACACAGTGAATGTGAAAAAGCCTTTGACAGAAGATCAGATCTTACTGGACATCAGAGAAGTAGAATTGCAGAGAAACATTATAAATGTGATGAATGTGGAAAAACCTTTAACCACAGGGGAAGCTTGACTAAACATACTAGAATTCATACTGGAGAGAAACCTTTTGAATGTAGTGATTGTGGGAAAGCCTTCAGTGAGAGAGGAAAACTCAAGAGCCATCAGAGAACTCATAGTGGAGTAAAGCCCTTTGAATGTAATGAATGTGGGAAAGCCTTTAGTGTGAGGGGAAACCTCAATGCACATCATCGAACTCATGCAGGCGTGAAACCCTTTGAATGTAATGAATGTGGGAAAGGCTTCAGTGAGAGTAGATTACTCAAAAGTCACCAGATAACTCATACTGGAGTAAAGCCATTTGAGTGTAATGAATGTGGAAAAGCCTTCAATCAGAAAGGAAACCTTATGAGCCACCAGAGAACTCATACTGGAATGAAGCCTTTTCAGTGTAATAAATGTGGGAAAACCTTCAACCAGAAGCGTTTCCTTAAAAGTCATCAGAAAATTCATACTGAAGAAAAGCCTTTTGAATGTAGTGAATGTGGAAAAGCCTTTAGCCAGAAAGGTTACCTTAAAAATCATAATAAAATTCATAGTGGAGAAAAACCATTTGAATGTAACGAATGTGGGAAAGCCTTCCGTCGGAAAGGATACCTTATTACTCATCAGAGAACTCATACTGGAGTGAAAGCTGTTGAGTGTAATGAATGTGGAAAAGCCTTCAGCCAGAAAGGTTACCTTAAAAGTCATCAGAGAATTCATGCTGGAGAGAAACCCTTTGAATGTAATGAATGTGGGAAAGCCTTCAGCCAGAAGAGTTACCTTAAAAGTCATCATAGAATCCATACTGGAGAGAAACCATTTAAATGTAATGAATGTGGGAAAACCTTCAGCCATAAGGGTTACCTCAAAAGCCATCAGAAAATACATGTTGGAAAGAAATTATTTGAACAAAGTCAGTGTGAGAAAGCCTTCAACCAGAATTGCCTTGATGGCCATCAGAAAATTAACAGTGGAATAGAGTCCTTTGAATGTAATGAATGTGGCAAAGCCTTTGCTGAAAAGGAAGCCCTTATTAGACATCAGAGAACTCATACTGATGTGAAACCTTTTGAATGTAATGAATTGGGGAAAGGCTTCTGCAGAAAAGCACATGTTGTTACCCATCACAGAATTCAGACTGGGTTAAAACTTTTTGAATGTAAATGAATGTGGGAAAGCCTTCAGCCAAAGCATATACTTTACTACCCATAAGAATACTTACACTTTAGAGAACCAGTTTTAATATAATAAATGGGAAAAGGGCTTCTGAGAAATTGAGAGCCTTATTAAACATCAGAGAATTCATCCTGGACTGTAACATTTTGAGTGTAATAAATATCTTTATTGAGATCAGATTATGCCAAGGTAGATGGCCAGCAATTAGGAAATGGCTAAACAAATTGTTATATGTTCATATAATGGGGCATTACTGTGCTGTAAGAAATGATGAATATGGTAAATTTAAAGAAGTATGGAAAACATGGATAATAACTTACAGAAGGAAGTAAAGGGCTGTAACAATATATATGATGGCTCCAACAATGTAAATGGAAAGAACAAGAAAAAAGAAACTGAACAATATATAATTTTAATATCCAAGTATGGTCCCAGAGAATGAGGGAAAAGCATCTCTTTCCCTTTGTGGAAGTTGGCAACTGTGTGTAATACTGCTTATGCTTTGCTACTTTCTTGGTGTTTTGGTTACTTTTGCTGACTACTTTTTGTTCCTTTTCCTCCTCTTCTTCATGCCCCCCCCTGCCCTCCAGAATGGCCCACTGGAGGAAAAGCTGGGGAAGGATATATTTGGAAATGAAAGTGGTATAAGAAAAAAGTACACCAATGACTTTATCCTTTAAAAACTATTAAACAAAGTGCAGATTATGCAGGTTTGAGATTAGATCCTTTTCTTGACAGTACTTCAAAATGTGTAGATTGGGAAATGTTGTAGACGTGATTGACCGATGTTTCAGCAAAGCATTTTATAAATCCTCACAAGAAGAGGTGGTGAAGTTGGGGGTACACAATAGAACGATCCAGTGGATTCAGGACAATTGGAATGACTTGCCCCACAGAGTAGTTATTAATGGGTTGATGGAATGAATTGCTCCAGGCATACTTGAACCTATACTATTTTAACATCTTTATCTATGACCCATATTCATAAAATATTCAAATCCAGGAAGGATAGCTGACATTTCAGATATTGGAATCTGGATCTGGTAAGATCTTGACAGTCTAAAATAATGGTATCCAGTTTTTTTAATTGTACACTTCTAGCAATAAAAATTATATGAATATGCACCCTACATATATGTAAATTCACTTATTTAGCAATAATTGATTGACTTATCTAGAAATCATTTACATGTACTATTTAATCAATGCAGTTGGGTGGCATAGTGGATACAGTGCCAGGCAAGTCAGACTTGACTAAAATCAATTAACACAACAGTTTTATGAATAATTAGGTAAATAATTTTTAAAATACAATTTAAAAAGGCAAAGATGAAATATTTGATTCTAAAGTCTGTGGGAAGCCACTGGCATTTACTGAGTAGGGGAAGGCCATGATCAGAGCTTTGCATTAGGAAAATCAATGAATTTCAGCAGGGAGATCAATTAGGAGGCTTTAAAGGAAGGGAAGAGGTGATGAAGGCCTGGTGGCCATATGCATAAAAAGAAGGGGACAGATTTAGAAATGTTGTGGAGGTTGAAATGATGAGATATGGCAACTAATTGGGTATGTGGGATGAGAGATGGAAGAATGAGGAACACTTTAAGGTTATGAAACTGAATGACAAGGATAGTGGTACCTTCAACAGGAATAGGGAAGTATGGAAAAACAGAAGCTTTTTTTTTTTTTTTGCTTTTTGGTGAGGCAGTCGGGGTTAAGTGACTTGCCCAGGGTCACACAGCTATAAGTGTCATGTGTCTGAGACTGGATTTGAACTCATGTCCTCCTGACTTCAAGGCCGGAGCTCTATCCACTGTGCCACCTAGCTGCCCCAACAGTAGCATTTTAAGGAAATGTAAACAGCCATGTTTTGAACACAGCTATGGGACATCAGATTCAAAAAGTTCAGTAGATCTTTGATGATGTGGGGTTGGAGAGCAGAATGGAAATTAGGCCTGGATTTTTAATTTTATGAGTCATCTGTACAGAGATGATAATTAAACCTATAAAACTGATTAAGGCAACAAGTGAGTGTATGGAGAAGAGCGCTGAAGACAGACTTGGGCAATATTTGCATTAAGGAAAGTCATGTGGGTGATGAGCCTGCTACAGACATTTGAAAAAGAAGTCACAATCAGAAGAACCAGATAGAGCCTCAGAACGATAAGTCATCGAGAAGAAAGTAAATCTAGGAAGAGAGGGTGGTCGGTGGGGTCATGCTGCAGAGGTCCAGAGAATAAAGATTGATAAAAGGCCACCTCTTTTGGCAAATTGATTATTGGTAACTTTCAAGAGAGCAATTTCATTTAAGTCAAGGATAACAAGGAAGTTACCTGGCAGACTATAAGGCTGGGGATGCTCTTATGGAAAAGGTAAGTTTGAGAAGAAAGAGAATGTGATCACAACCCATCCATGCCTGTCCAACCCGTGCCTGGGTTACTTCTTCTTTCTCATGGGAAAATGAAGTGTGTGGAATAATACTCCCCTTCCATTGCTCCTGAGCTCAGAGCCCATCCACTGATGGCAACCAAACTCTGGCACGTGACCAGGAGATGGGGTTGGGGGGGAGGGGATTTTAATTTTGCCTGTGTTCCTGCTGAGGTGTCTTCATTGCTTTAGATTTTAGTGGCCCTAGGCAGCCACAGCAGGTAGGCCAGCAGTGAGAAGGGTCAGAATGGGGAAGTGTTGAAGGGAATAGTGTGTGTATGTGTTTGTGACAAGCCCAAGATTGTCTTGGGGTGAAAGGGGATACAACCCATATGTCTCCTTTCCGACTGATCACACACTGGTGGTCAAGTGGCCCACATTGCCACTGCTGATCAAGACTGTATGTTCAGATATTACAACTTACATTTGTATTTTTTTAAAAATAACTTCTGAAGTCCAAGATAGGGGAGGAATGGATCAACAGCACCTTGCAAAGATTGGATTTTTTGTTTTGGTGGATTCAATCTTGGGGTGCATTAAGGGAATGCACTAAAGTTGCATCGTCGCCTGAAAGTAGGAAGTTATCTATCAAACCATTTTACATTGTCCTCTGCCGCAGTCAGACCACATCTGTGCTCATTTCCATGCAACACAATTTAAGAAGGAAGTAGTAGGATGATTTGTTTTTTCCAGAAGAGGGCAAACTGGGTGGTGGAGGGCCCTGTGAAGGTATCTGCCTTGTGGAGATCATTTCATGGGTCTAGGGATGTTTAGCTTTGAGTAGAGAAGACTCCTGGGGAACATGATAGAACCCAAAGAGCTTTCAGGTATGGAGATAGTATTAGTCTTATTCTGCCTGATTACAAAAGGCAAAACTAGGAGCAGGGGGGAAGTTTCACAGGGACAACTTTAGGCTTGACATAAGAAGAAAGTGTCCAAATGTGGAATGAAATGCCCAGCAAGTAGAGAATTGCCCTGATTGGAGCCAAGGCTAAATGACAGCTTATTAGGTGTATGGCAGAAGATCCTTTTTTAGGAGCTCTGTGTTCAATTGGATAGCCTCCAAGGGAGGTCCCTTCTAACTGAAACTAGAATTCTGATTCTGTGATTTAGTGAATGTTGGGGAGTCTTCACTCCGAATATGACCTTAAATATCAGAGAGCTCATTGGAAAGAAGCCTGTGAATAATAAAAATGACAGGACTCAGAAGAAAATCCACATCAATAACATTTATTTATTTATTTGGCTAGGCAGTGGGGTTAAGTGACTTGCCCAGGGTCACACAGCTAGTAAGTGTTAATGTGTCTGCGGTAGGATTTGAACTCAGATCCTCCTGAATCCAGGGCCGGTGCTCTATCCACTGCATCACCTAGCTGCCCCTACATCAATAACTTTTAGAGGCTATCTCACACCTTTCCAGTTTTCACATCTTACCCCACTATCTCCTTCATTCCTGGTTTTGGTGAGGAAATGGCCCTTCTTTCCAATGCAAATGTCTCTACACATTCCATTCTTCTCTGGAACATTGCTCCCACTGTCATCCCTATTCTTTCCCCAATCTTCAGTCACTCCCTATGTTCTTCTGACTACTTACAAACAAGACCGTATCTCCCCCATACTTAAACACTTGATCTGATCTGATCATCTCCACTAGCTATTGTATATCTTTTCTATTCACCTGAACTCCTGGAGAACACTCCACACTTGGTGCCTGCACTTTTTGTCCCCATTCATTCTTAAATCCTCTGTAGCAGGCCCGCAGAATCTGCTGCTTGCAGCAGCCAAAGGATTTCCTCTACATACAAAGGATGTTTCCTCTACGTTTTTTCGTGGGCAGCCTGAAATCCTTCAGCTTGCCACAAGCAGCCCGTGAGCAGCCTGAGGGCTGCAGATTGGGCAGGCCTGCTCTATAGTCTAACTTCTGACTATCATTTTACAGAAACTGCCCTCTGCAAAGTTATCAAGGATCCATTGCTTGCCAAATTGATTATGCTTTTCTTAATCTTAATTCTCAACCTTTCCGTAGCCTTTAACATTGTTAACCACTGCATCCTGAATATTATCAAGGTTTTTCAACACTGTTCATTTCCATTTGTGTTATAAGTCTTATTTTGCTGGTTTTTCATCTATGTCATGTCCACTAACTATATTCCCCAAGTATCTGTCCTGGAGTCTCTTCTATATATCAGTGATCTCACCAGCTCCTAGGTGTTCAGTTATCTCTATTCATATTATTTACAGATCTGTATGTATCTAGCCCTAAACTCTCTACAGAGTTTAAGTCTCTGGATTTTATCACCACCAATCACCTTTTTTATATCTACAATTGGGTGTTCCTTAGCCAACTTAAACTCAGTATGTCCAAAGTAGCTCATCTTCCCCCTCATTTTTTTACAATTTCCCTGTTACTCACTTAATAATGAAATATGGGACATTTTATAAATTTGCATGTCATCCTCGTGCAAGGGGCCATGTGAATCTTCTTTGTCATTCCAGTTTTGGTGTGTGCACTGCAGAAGTTAGCAATACTACTCCTGAAGGTGCCACCATCCTCCCACGTACCAAGTCTTACAACCTTAGTCTCCTACTTAACTTCTTGACCTAAATCAGTCTGTAACTGTCTAAGCACCTGCTAAATGCCATGCACTTTTACATACTAGGAAAAGAAAGACAAGGCACAGTCCCTGTCCTCAAGGTACTCACAAGTATGAGGCAGGAGACAACATGCCACATGCAAACAAGTATGTACCCACAAGCTATGTGCACAATAAATTGGATATAATTAGCAGAAAGCATTACAATTATGCAAGATCAGGAAAGGCTTCCTGTAGAAGGTGGGATTTAGCCGAGACTTGAAGAAAGCTAGAGGAGCCAGGAGTCAGAGATAAGGAGAAGAAAACATTCCAGGCGTGGGGGACTGTCAATGAAAGTGCCTGGAGTCACTGGGTGTGAGGTGTAGGGTGCAGTGGTGGTGTAAGACACAAGAAGATTGGAAGTGTGAGGAGGGGTGGGTTATAGGTCATAAAGGGCTTTGAATGCCAAACAGGACTATCTATCTATATATCTATATCTATATCTATATCTATATCTATATCTATATCTATCTAATCATTTTAATGATAGCCACTGGAGTTTATTGAGGTGGGGGGGGTGTGGGTTGACATGGTCAGACCAGTGCTTTAGGAAAATCACTTTGGCAGCTGAATGGAGGATTGAAAGATGGAGAGAGATGAGGCAGGCAGACCCACCAGCAGCTACTGCAGCAGTCCGGGTATGAAGTGAGGAGGTTTGCACCCAGGTAGGGGCAATAACAGATTAGGGAAGAAGGTGTATTCAATAGAAGTTAACAAAGGGAAACAACCCTACATATCTACTCCATCCCCAAATCTTGTCCTGTCTATGCCATATACATACAAATGTATGTATGTATATACATACACACACATACATCCCCTTTTTTCCATTCACCACCCTAGTATAGGCCCTCATAATCTCTCAACTTGGACTACTGAAGTAACCTAAATCCTAATTAGTCTTCCTACCTCAGTTTTCTCTCCATTCCAATCCATCATCCACTCAGCTGCCAAAGTGAATTTCTGAAAGCATGGATCTGAACATGTCACACAACAAGACTTTGCAGTACCCCCAGGATCAAATGTAAAGTCTTTTTGGCATTTAAAGCCCTTTATAATGTGTCTCCTCTCA